AGGAATGGATCAGCCAGCCAGTGAGGGTCAACGTCAAGCGGGAGTATGACCACATGAACGGGTCCAGGTGAGCCCAGCTGTGAGGGTGGGCGCCCCAGGCCTGCCGTCGGGGACCTGTGGCTCTGGGTGCCTGTGGCACACGAGGCTCTGCGGGCCTGTCTCCAGGGTGCTGACAAGAGAGGGCTCCAGAACTTCAGGCTGTGGAGCGAGGAGTGCCAGGAAGCCCGCCGGGCTCTCTGGACCATGCAGCCCTCACAGGCAGGTTAGAGGAAGCCCCAAGCCTCTGCAGACATTCTGGGACAGCCATGTGTGGTAGACCCAGGCCCAGGGACAGCCCTGCGTGGGGATAACCCTGCACGCGGACACTCGTCCGGTGTGTAGAAGGGTCTTTCCCTCTCGGGCGAGCCTGTCCAGAGCAGAGGTGACCGCACATGCTGAGCGTGAAAGTGGGGAGGTGACGAGGGGTGGCACCTTCAGCACGAGGCCTCCCTGCGCCCCACACGCCACGCCTGACAGCGCTCTGGGCAGTGGAACCAGCGGGCGACCGCTCTGCCCACAGAGGCCGAGGGAGCAGATCTGGGGAGTTGACAGGAGCACGAGCGAGCAGGTCTCCCGCAGGTCACGGCCCAGCCCTGCCTCTGCCCCGCTCTGTGCTCCAGGCGACGCCCTTTCAGTCAGGGCCTGCTCCTCCGGGCGGCACGGGTGGACGGGAAGGGCCCAGGTGGCTTCCAGGACCCGGGAAGGGCTCGGGGCGGAGTGAGCCTGATGGACAAAGGTTAGAGAGGAGGACTAGCCTCCCTCCGAGATACCGGGTCACCCCGGACCTCAGCGCACGCGTGGCGGCCCCCCAGCGTAGACGAAGGCTAGTGCCATGCATGTCCCATGTGGCAGGGCTGTGCCTTATGGCCAGGGAGCCGGGAGGGGCCTGCAGCATCAGAAGGACCCCCCAGGAAATTGACAGGCAATCCCAGGAAGGCAGCGCAGAGTCGGAGCTGGAGCTGGCGATGACTACAGGAGTAAACGGGCGAGGCCCTGCGTGGTCGGAGGGCGTAGCTGCAGGGGAGGTGGGAGGGAGGGAAGAGCAGGGTGACTAGTCCAGAGGGCTCGGAGGACTGCGCCCTCAGCCGCCACAGGAGGGAGGGGAGAGGAAGACGGAGGGCAACGTCCCTGGGACTTCTCTGGAGCAGTCTGTGGCCACCCAGACACGCATGGCCCCTAGGCTTAGAAGCTGGGCCCAGGCAGTGTGGGGGCTGGACACGAGGTCAACACCAGCCGGCGTTTCACCTGTGCAAGTGGAAGGGACCCCAGGGACGAGTGCAGGGAGAGGAGACCAGGGAGGGGCAGCAGAGGGCATGGCAATTGCAATACTGGATTCCCACGTGACTGGCCACAGTTCGAGTCCTGGACCGGTATCCTGGAGAGTGTGTGTGTGTGCCCAAGCTCCCAGAGGAGAAGGGATTGTGCAGCCATCCCCCTGCAGAGTGACTTCTCACTTTTTCTCGCTGTCCTGTCTCTCTCTCTAGGGGAGCACGCTAAGGCAATAAAGGAAAACAAACAAAAAAACCCTCTACCATTAAAAAAAAAAAAAAGAAGTGAGCCAGAGAGTAGCCAGGAGGGAGCTCCTGCGGCCCTGTGCCCTCGCCCTGCCCGTGGGGACGCCCAGCATCCCCACATTGCAACCCCACTCACCGAAACCAGCGTCTGGGCCCTTGGGCACCTTCCCCAAGCCTAGGAAATCAGGAAGGCTAGCAGGTTTCCAGCTGCAGCCCCCCCACACACCCGGTGACACTCTCTCCGCAGAGGTGGCAGTGCTCGTGACGCTGGGGTCGCAGGGCATCCTTTGCCAGCACTCTCCATGTCATCTCACCCTTCGCTCCAACCCTGTCCTGGGAGGTAGATACCGTGTGAGGGTCTCCCAACGTTCACAAGAAATGCATATTATGGAAAAACTATGCACAGATTTCAAAATTTTTTTGCACCCAAACAAATGTGCTTTAATTGCATGTCCCACGACCGCTTTGAAGTGCCCCGCATACCTCTGTCTTGTGCGAAGGGCACACCGGGCTTGGGGTAAGGACCTCGTGTAAGAATCACAGCAGGCCAAGTGGCACCACCCAGGCTGCAGCTCCCTCTCCCTGTCGGCCTCTGCACCCCAGTCTTGATTCTGAGTCCCTCACCTGAGCTTCTCCTGCCCCCAGATTACGTACAAGGACACTGTTACAATCTCTCCATTTACAGATAGCCCAGACTGGCGAGGCTGTCCTAAAGGATCCTAACCGAGAAGAGAAGGCAGTGTGCCATTTGGGATCTCTTGGCTCCTGGGCCAGAGCTGTGCTGTCCAGGGCACTAGCCACCAGCCACGTTTTGCTACTGAAAAATGTGTTTTGCTCCGGAGCACCTAAAGCCGGGTAGTCCCAAGTCAGCAAGCACTCTGGGTGTGAAATTCACACTGCGCTCAGAAGACAGTACAGAGGGACCAGCAGTTAGCATAATGGCTATGTCACTAGACTCCCACGTAGTTGACCGCAGTTCAAGTCCTGGACCTGGTAGCTTAAACTCACTCCAGGCGCATGTGCATGCGTGCCCAAGATCCCAAGAGGAGAATGGAGAAGGGATTGTGGCATGGCCATCCCCCTGAGGGGTGATTTCTCGCTTTCTGTCTCTCTGTTTCTCTCTGTCTTTCTGGCAAGCGCACGCGCCCTATGGAAAAAAAAAAAAAAAACTCTCCAAAAAAAGAAAAAGAAGACAATATGGAAAAGCATGCAAGATACCTCATTGATTATGCTCAAATTATAAACTTTAGCTATGTATACACACACACGCACACACATACGTGCACACATTTATCCGTCTCACGAGCAAGAGAGACAGAGAGCAGAGAAACAAGCCCAAAGAGGGCCTTGATGCCTCCCCAGCCCAGCCCACTCTGGAACACAGGCACGCACACTCCTGGCACACTCGAGGCCAGCGTGGCACCTTCCCACGTGACTCAGCGTGCCTGAAGAGCTGGCACGTTAGTGCTTTTTAAAGTGTAATTCTGCTGTGCTCTCCAGAAAGACACACAGAGACAGAGGGGGGATGGCCTCTTCTCCTCCATTCTCCTCTCAGGATTTTGGGCACACACAGACATGCCCAAAGTGTTTTCCAAGTCATTGGTTCTGAGACTTGAACCACACAATCATGTGGGATTAAACCTTAACTACCATCCCACCAGCTGGCCTGATGCATTTTAATATGTTATTAAAATCCACTTCACCTGTTTTATTTTTGTTGTTGTTCCTTCTTTCTTTCTTTCTTTACAAATATGGCTATTGGAAACGTTCGAACTACCCACCTGGCTCCCATGCGTGCTTTCTCGCGTCCTGCTTTCTGACCCTGCCCTGGGTCACGATGTTCCGGAGTATTCCTAGGGACCTTCCACCTTCTTCGAGAACTTGGCTCGTCCGTATTGGTATTTGGGCCTTGATGGAAGGAGGTGGTCTGCATGCCTGAACGACAATGCCTGCTTCTTATCCCAGCGGTAAGGCATCTGGGCCAAGGCTCAGGGCCACACAGAGGGGCTGCAGGCTGCAGGGCTCAGAGGAAGCTGCCCTGCCCACGCGTGGGAGCTCTGCCCTCTCCTCTTTCGTGTGTGTCTGCGGTGCTGAATCTGCTGGGGCCATCGCCCTCAGAACAGGGGCCCATAGCTTCTGTGCAAATGTAGGTTCCAGCAACTCTGTCTAAGCTGCCGGCTCCCAATAACCCTCAGCTGTACCCCTTCTCAACCACGGGGACCAGGGGACATCTTATGAAGAGAGGACTGTCTGTGAAGGGCATTTGCCGTCAGTGCCTCAGGGTCAGCTTGTCCTGACGCCCACCTGGCCAGAGGTCCGGATGCCCTGGGCGCCAGAGACTGACCTGCCACATATGCGCTCAGTCCCATGCCCCCTGTAATCGGCGCCTCTCACGCTGCTATGAGCCCTCCTAAACGCCCTTAAGCTGAGCCTTGTGGTAGGAGACAGGACACTCTCAGGGAGCCACACCCCAAATCTAGAAAGGCTCTAGGCATCTATGGGGGTTAGGGTGATGGCTTCGTCATAGGTGCTGTTTCTCTCTTTTTGAGATTTGCTTTTTAATTAGTGCAGCTCTGTCTCCTAAATAAAAATGGCCACGTCAGAGCACAGACGCTGCAGAGACCCTAAAGGCGATGCAGATGGCTTAGTCTCTTACCATGCACGCTCGCACGGGAGACACACGTGATAGGTGTGGGTGCAGCCACGTGGCTGGGGGAGCCCTGAAGACCTCGCGTGGGCTGTGTGAATACTGGCTATCACCCGGCACACGCAGACTGCAGACGAGTGCCCTGGGCAGGCGGAGAAGGCGTCAGCGTAGCCGCAAGTTTTCTTTGCGAGACTGTAATGTCCTGTCACCCAGCCCCTCAAGGTTTTGTGCCTTGTTCTGAACTGCTCAAAGTTTAGGAGGTGCTTTTGCAAATCGCTAGCGACGTTCAGAAGCGATGTTTGGAAAGCAGCTGCCTTTTCCTAGTTTTGCTATGGAGCGCATGCGCTCTCTGGGAGAGACACTCAGAGAGAGGGGAATAAGAAAGCACCACCCCGCGGGAATGACCACGCTGCCACTCTTTCTGCTCCGTTTCTCTTTTGGGGATTTTGGGTAGGAGTCCGCACACGCGTACACACACACACACACGTTCAGAGTGGTTTTCAAGCTGCAGGGTTGCAGGGTCTAGGAATCAAACCACAGGGTCGGCCATGTGGGATCCGGCTGCCTTAACCACTGTGCCGCCAGCCAACCCAGAAGTTTTGAGCAGTGCTGACCGAACACCACGGACGCTAGTGGAGGGGTAGGCCACTGACGTCCAGGGGAACGTGATGGACCCAGCTGCAGGGACCCCGTGCACTCAGCATGGCCTCTGGCCGTGGTTTTCGGTCACCCTGAGATGGAGAGGCCCCTGAGTCACACTCACAGCCACCACTCCTCCCTGCTCTGCCGTGGTGGCCCAGGCCCTCCATCACCTGCCCTGGCACCGTCTGCGGCCTCCAGCCCTGCCCGGCGAGCTAGAAGCTAGGTGTCAGTGTACACCAACAGCAGCACGAGGCTGAATGGCAGTGCCCCCTCTGCACGCCCCTTCCTGCTCCCCCAGCCTCTTCACGGATGCCAACAGCCTCTTTGGAGCAGCCTTGATGTGGCTTCGCCTGCTCCCGCCCTGGCAGTGGCCTTTGCCCCCTTGGCTGTGCATGTGTGTGCGTGCCTGGGGCTGCGGAGTGTCCCAGGACTCACAGAGCAGGACGCGTGTGGCTTTCCTTTCTCTTCAGAGCTGGAGCCAGTGGAGCAGGCCTGGCCGGGCAAGCAGCAGTCCAGGACGTTCGGGGCTGCTCTCCCGGGCACCCCTGCACAGGTCCCAGCATAGTCAGGGGCCAAGGGTGGGGCCTTGATCCAGAGGAGACCGCCCAGGCGGGTGGGCAGCCAGACAGCACCTGCCCTGCTGAGCAGGTGTGCGTATGGGGAGGAGGGAAGGGTGGGAGACAGACAGGAGGCATGGCCACTGGGCGGCAGAGTGGCACCGGGGGAGAATCGCCTCCTCCCTGCCTCCACCCCTAGGCTGTACCGCTCTCACCACAGCCGCCGCTCCTCACCTTCCCAGCACACATCAGGCAGGGGTCACCAGATGCCTGTCTTTCCAAATAGATTTTTCTCTCCTCCAGCACAGGGCCTGGCCATGCCCCCGTGCCTCCGTGCACCCCATAAACCATAGGGTCACTCACGGGGCAATTCCCGAGGTCCTGCTTCTCTGCATGGCAGGGGTTGACTGCCCACTCGAAAGCCCCAGAGGCCAGGCTGTTGTAGAAAAGGAATTTTCAAAACTTGCGAGGAAGGGAGGAGCCGTGGGGCTACTGCCTGCTCTCGGCCGCCCCTGCCCACGGGCCTCCCGTCCTTCTGAGGCCCCTGGCCTGCCCCAGCTCTCAGCTCTGGGCGCCCCCCCACAGTCCACAGAGCCCCCAGGGAGAAGAGCCTCATGCTCATGGTGACCAGCAGCCTCATCCCCAGACTTGGGCTGCTCTCGGGCTGTTCACAGCTGGCCAGATGCTGGGGAAGGCCAGCCAACTGTGGTGGCACGTGTGGGGACACGTGGCAGTGTGCACATGTGTGTGAATATGTATGTGTGTGCATGTGGGCGGGTGCATGTGACAATGTGCGTATGTACGTGATCAAGTGTGTGCCTGTGTGATGGGTCGTGTGCACGTGTGTGTGCGTGTGAGGGAGAATGAGTGTTGCGAAGCTATGTGAATGTCTATGCGTGTGGTGGGGTGGGTGTGTATATGTGTGCATATGCAATGGAACGTGTGTACATGTGTGCATGCATGTGCATCTGTGGCAGGGTATGTATACATGTGGTGGAGCCTTGTGTGTGTGTGTGTGTGCACATGCAAGTGTGTGGTGGAGCATGTGTGTATTTACACGGAGCGTGTGTGTAGCGCGTGCACACGTGGAGCATGTACACACGTGTGTGGACCATGAGTACGTGTGTGTGTGTGTGTGTGTGTGTGTGTGTGTGTGTGTGCAGTGAGCCACAGGCGGGCGGGGGGGGCGGGGCCGGCGCCGCTCAGACACAGCCCTGGTCTGACCAGGCTGCTTCTCATCTCAGGCCAAGTCCTCGGCAGCAGAAGCCGAAGGCGGCCGCGGTGAGCAGGCTGACAGCTCCGGCCCCTCCGCCTGCCGCGGGGACATTAAACCTTCGGCAGGCTGGGACTCTGACGGCTGCTTCTTGGTTCTCTGCCTGGAAAAACAGTAGGCGAATAGTAAAGCCTTAAATTCTAACATGTGTAAGTTCTACGTCTTATTTTCGTTTTCAGCCTGTGCACCCTCTGTAAGACATCAGGAAAGAATTACCGTCTGACTTCTAATATCTCAGTGGAGCGTTTATCTCCCGGTTATGGTTAAGTGATCTTCACATTTTTTCCTTTCAGATTAAGAAACAAATTCATTTAATTTTCTTTATTGCACATGCCCCGCCCCCCCAGGAGGCCCAGGCCGTCTCCCTCCTCCTGGGCTAGTGGCTGCTCGTGCTCCTTGTGGGGATGGGTGGGGCCCCTCTGGCATGGCCTGTCCTTAGGCCCTGTGGCGGTCCATTCCTGCCCATGGCAGGGTGGCCGAGGCAGTGGCCAGGCCTTGGAACGTCCGGCTGAGTTGGAAGGCCAGGTCTGAACCTTCCCTGAACTCGCTGGTCCGCAAGCCTGGCCCGGCGCGCTGGAGAAGACGGGCTGTCCCCCAGGCTGCGGGCGACACTTCCTGCTGGCGCGGCCACAGCTGTAGCCTTGCCTAGGCCTCAGTGGTATCTGCTGACCCTGTCTGCTGCCAGAGGGGCTGAGTGGGCGCTGGGCAGGGCAGGCTGGCACGTCCCCAGGTGTGCTGGGTTGGGCGGATGGAGAGGGTCTGGCTCCCCTCCGTGGCCCTCCATGGTCACCAATGCCACGAGAACCCGGTGATCATGCCCGCCCGGGCATGAGCGCGCTGCCCTTGAGGCGGAGCAGCCTTCTTCCGGTGCCATTCCATGCTGCCTCCCTGCGTCTTCCAGCCATGGCAGCAAGAGGCCACAAGGCCATGGTGTCCCGATCAGGTGGGCCTTCCGGGACCATCGGCCTCCTTCACTCAGCACAGCTGTGCCGCACGTGTGCGGCCGCAGAGCAGTGCAGCGCTGAGGCCTGAGTCCAGCTCCCCACCGAGTTGGGCTGGTCCCCTCACTTCTTGGCCCCTTAGCTGTGGGACGAGGCACGCTGGGCTGTGGGGAACCCCTGTGTTGCGATCTCTCAGAGATGTGTACTAGGACGATGTGGTGAGCGCTTTTCTCATTCAGCTGTGCAAGGCATACCGTAGGGCACTGGAAGGTCACTGCGGACACCATGACTCCAGTTCCAGAACCTGCCATCACACAGGACTCATGGGGTGGCGAGTCTGCAGGGACAGACCCGACCGACTGCAAGACGTGGAGAGGCAGGGAGGGGGTGCAGACACCGGCACGGCGGTGCAGGCTGCCAGCCGTGTGGATAGATGCTGGCCCGGATGGGAGGGTGCCGGTGCCGTGGTAGAAGTGCGGACGGGCGTCAGTCAAGGGCACCGAGGACCCGCGGAAGTGTTAGTGCCCACCTGCACACAGCAGTGAGCTGGGGCGCGAAGGGGCACAGGAGGTGGCCGTGAGGGGGATGGAAGTCAGTGTCATCCTTAGCGCTGTGGTCATTAGGCCACGTGGCCTGAGCTCACTGCCTGCACACAAGGTGACCTCTGGTGGCCTCTGTCCCACTACAGGGAGTCCCCGGTGGACTGCAGCATTGGCAAGTGCAGCAAGCTGGTGGCTGGAGGTGAGCCCAACCCCGTGAACTACAACAGCTACATGGACGAGAAGAACGGCCCCCCGCCCCCCAACATGACCACCAACGAGAGGAGAGTCATCGTCCCCGCAGGTACTTGGGGCACAGGCCGACGGCCCTCCCCAGCTCTGGGGCCAGGAGGGGAGGGAGGGCCGGCCGGGGCCAGTTCTGCCCCCCAACTGCTCTGCATGGCAGTGACGTCGAGCTGCGGGCTCCACACTTGTGCACTGCAGACGGAACGCCGGTCCAGGGCTTTTACGAACATGAGTCTCCTTCCAAACGCGCCCCACGGGTGGCCAGCAAGCCCCGAGGCCTAGGCCGATGGCATGGCTGACAGTCCAGAGGGTGACAGGTCTATGCAGATAGCAAGAGAGAGCAAGAGAGAGAGAGCACACACAGCCAGCTCTCGTGGGGACTAACAGCATCTCAGGAACGATGCAACTCCCCAGGGCTCTCAAGCCACCATGAATCTAGTCACAATGCTCTTGGCACTGTAATGCCACCGCCACAACCCTGTCTCTGCCCACCCGCCTCAGCACCTGCAGTGTAAGTCCCAGAACACACACACAGCTTTAGAAGCCGTGATCCCGTGTAACAACACAGCTCCTGTACAGCAGGCTTCCCTCAGAGGCTCCCACCCGCCACCAGAACCTGGGGCGCAGGTTCAGAGCTCACTGCCAACCACGCATCCCAGTCCCGATCGGGGTGGGCTCGCGAGGAGGGCGGGGCGAGGCCCTCTCGGCTGAAGGCACCTCCGAACTCCCAAGGCCATCCTTGCCTTTAAGGAGAGGCCTGTCCCTGTCGCTGCCACACCCCTGTTCAAATGGGTACTTCCTGGCATCCGCCAGGCTCCACCTTTCCAAAATTACAGCCAGCTCTTTCAGACTGGAAATAGAAATTACTATATTTAACAAGCACAGCGCCTTCGCGTGCATGCGACGGGTTAGGTCACGGTGTGAAAATAGCCTCTTCCCTGGTAGTGGCGCTGCTGGCTACAGAACATACAATCATGGTTCAGGCCCTGAGTCCCTTGGCCAGACATGCCAGCCAGCGCCGTCCAGCTCAGCTGCCCCCAGCACTGAGCAGCCCGCTCCAGCCAGAGGGTACCTGATCTTACCGGGAAAACCACAGGGAGCGTCAGGCCTTCCGGACATAGGCTCAGCAGAGGCTGGTTTTCTCTCTCAAATTTTCTTTGTTATTATTCTAATTTACTACAGCCCATATCTACTCATTAAAGAGAGCCAGAGAGAGAGGGAGATAGGGAGAGTGAGAAAGCAAGTTGCCTGGTCTGGGACTCAAACCATGGTCAGCCTGGTGGGAGTCCAGCACTTGAACCACCACAGCCCTGCTGGCCTCTGCAGGAGCTGTGAAGGCAGACGCCAGCCCTCTCTGGGCTGCCGGGCTGCCCGTTGTCCAAAGGCTCCACGTGGCAGTGGCCCTCCTGCCCAGGCCATCCTTATTCCGTGGGAAGCTGTCTCACCACCTTCCAGGACAATGCCCGTGTCCAGGTGCTTCAGGCCAGATTGAGCGTGGCAAGGACAGGACAGGGCGGGGCCTGGGAGTGTCCTGTCCCTGCACGGCCTGCAGATGGCTCATGGGCATTCCTAGCCACTCTTCCACACGGGGAGCCGAACACAGAGGAGGGAGAGGGTCCACTCCCAGCACAGGCAGCCTGAGGGCTCTCTGCTCTGCTCCACTGTGACGTAGGTGACCAGCTAGAGTGTCGGCCCAGAAGACAGCAGCCAGTGAAACTGCGCAGGGCTGACCCAGTGGGTCCTCTGCGTACCTGCGCTGCCCCACCCCAGCAAGGCCAGGCCTCACAGACCTCTCGTCATTTGGTGTCAAACTCCCCCTGCAGCCCAGCAGCTGCCGTAGGAAGGAAACTCCTGGGGGCGGGGGTAGCCTTAGAACCCTGTGGCCACCCTCTCGTGGGGCTGGCATTTGGGAAGGGGCTCTGGGGACAGCAGAGACATCAGGCATTAGGGGCTGTGCTGCTGGTAGCCCTGGCCCTGAGCACAGCCCGGACCCCGTTGCCCACTCTCCACGCTGCTCCCGGCTGGCCCTCAGGCTCAGCCTCCTGGGCGTGCAGAGACGCCTCCCAGGGCAAGTCCACAAGCCAAGGCAGTAACACGGGAGGCGAGCGACTGATGGAGTTTACGGTGGACTTGAAGTCGAGGATAAACGAGGACCCAGTTAATCACCGGCCCCGTGGGCGGATGGGAAGGAGCCAGAACTAAATCGCCCAGGAAATTCACTGGGAAGAGCCTGGCGTGACCCAGACTGGAAGATTTATACTGCATGTGTGGAGGAGCGACGTAACCGGGCTTCGGAGCCCACAGTGAGGAGGAAACGGTAGAGAAGGAAGATGGGTCTGGAAGTGGGCCTGCGGCCCCGGGTCCCACAGTGCGGCCGGGGAGAAGGGGAGGGTGCCCCCAGGACATTTTCTTCAAAGGATTCTGAAAAGGCGCAAAATGACTTCTGTTTACCAACGGTTCGTGCCCGATTGCTTCTGGAGACTGCAAGAGTGAAACAAGCAGGAGAGCTGGGAGAGGGCAGAGAGGGGAAGAGGGCCGGCGCCCAGGAGCCGTTCCTGCCGGAAGGGTAGCGGCTCAGGAGGCAGAGAAGAGACCAGGGACCCTCCTGTGAAGGCTGGATTGGCCCGGCTAAGACACCGATGGCGAGGGGACATCGGGAGAGCCACTACCCTTCCAGGACGCCACCCTCCATCTGCAAACTGGGACCAAGGAAGCCCTTTGCAGGATTGCCTCGATGGGCGCCCGCATGCAGGAAGCTCTGCAGACCGGCTTTCGCTGGTCATGGGGCAGGGTCCTCGCACAGACCTTCAGCAGCCTGGACCTGTGACCTGAATAGCCTCTTCTGCCCCCCTGGGCCAGCTCCTCCACCCCAGCATGGGTGCCACAGCCTCCCTGCCCCCACGGCAGACTCAACCCCAGCACCTGCTTCTCGCATCTAAAAGCCGAGGCCAGGTGAAGAGCCCACCAGGCAGGGGCATTTGGAAGGCACTAGACAGGTGGGGACTTGGCCTCTCAGCCAGGCCGGCTGCACAGTGGGAGCCGCACGGCTGACCCCTGCTGCCTCGACCTCTCCCCACCGTTCAGGCTTCCTTCCCTTCTTGCCGAGAGCCTCCATGGACTGCAGGATGGGGGAGGCTGAGAGCTGGCGGACACCACTGCCCAGGAAGCAAGCTGAGTAACACAGCCCCAGCCAACGCGCGAGGCCTACAGCCAACAGTGCAGTGCCATGTCTCCTCCTCTAGGAAGCCCTGGGGGACTGCCTCACACCGTTCCCTTCAGCCTTTGAGTCCCTGAGCACCCCGCACCCTGGGCTTGGCTGTGCACCCCCTACCAGAGTGCACCCCAGGGCAGACGAGCTCTGAGGGCAGGAGCCAGGGGCTCTCCTGTAGTGAGCGCGTTCGAGGTGCTCGTTGGAGTCACGAGCAGTTGGTGGCCAAGTGAAGAGATGGGTCCCAGACGGGGAAAGTGGCAAGATCTAAGGGTTCTACCTACGGCGGAACCTACCGGAACACATCACTCACAGGCAGAGTACACAGACGCCCCAGCTGAGAAGGAGCGCAAGGGCCCCAGAGCGGAGGTGGCCTCTGTCCTTGAGGAATGCTTTCACTCAGTGCTGCGGGGTTCTCTAAGGCCAGTGCTCATCTCGGCATTTAGAAGCCCTGAAACCTTGGGTGTGTCCTGGGAGGAACGACACAGCCATCCCGGGTTGGGTTCCGTTGAAGACTCACGGCACCGGCTTCCCCGCGGCCCAGACCTCATCTGTGAGGGTGTGTGCACACGGATCTCTGTTCGGGCACCGGCCAAGGAGTGGCAGCTCCGTTGTGAGATCATTGATACCCTTAAAGGGCACGCGGCTCCTTCCCAAGATAGGCCCTGGCCCGTGTGATCGCACTTTCACCGCCCAGGCGTTTCCCGGGCAGAAGCTTCCACTGTCCTCCACACCCTTCAGACAGCGTCCAGTCGGGCTGCATGGGACGCGGGGCCTGCTGGGTTCTGAGCGGTTCCGGCAGCCCAGATGCTGCGGGCCAGATGGGTGGCCTG